CTCCATCGTGGTTGAACCATTACATTCCCATAACCTCTCCGCACTTGTCATTGCGTGTCTGGTTGATAATAAGGTGTGTGGGTTTGGACAGAGGATATCTGGGAATAACTATAATAGCTTATGTATAGCTCTGAGGTTTTGTACAATTCTCTATCTTTTCCCATTTGGCGTCTTTACTGGAATGATAGGAGAATTACAGGGCTCAGACATGAAATTATAAGCCACCTCTTTTTATGGTAATTTTAATTTCTCCTAAACTTTTAATAAGAAGGGGAATGCTTCTTGTGTGGTCCTCAGAGCAGCCTGGTGCTGTCTATTTCAGTTTCCTATAATCCTAAAAGTGGCAGATGCCTCTCTAGGCGTTTTCTGCAAACATTTTTTTTTCTTTTCTTTTTTTTTTTTTTAATTCTGTTGCTTTTGCTCCCGGGAACCAGGAGGCATATTGGAAGAGGCTGGAACAGCCAGGACTACATGTTCTAACAGTTGCATTTCTTTGTGAACCTGTCAGGGCCCTGCAGAAAATCAGGAACAGTTCCTGGTTCCTCGCTGGCTGAGACCAGCTTTTCTCCAAAGGGGGTTTTGCTGGAATTCCTAGTCTCATCTTCCTGGAAGCCAGCGGGCCCTCACACGGGCACAGGCATGCTTACACAGTATATGGACATGAGCAGCCTCATTAGCTTCCTGTGAGCTTTGGGATGATGTGTAAGGCCAGAGTTTCTAGACTCTAGGAAGCTGTCTGAGGCCAACTCCTGACTCAGACCTGAGAGAAATCAGCAGTTACTCAGCCTCTGTGCCTCGGCTGCCTCGCAGGGCTGGGCCCATGGAGATAAGATCCGTAGAAGCGTGGCTGGCACAGAGAATGCGCGCAGTGAATGCCAGCCGCCGCTGTCCGCAGATACTCACTGGGCCCCAGTGTGAGCCCCAGTGTAGGTGCTTTCTCCCTCTTTTGTGATGCAAGTGCCTGATTTAGGCTCAATCCCAGGGGCACCCACTTCAACACAAACCTGCAGCCGTGACTGAGGAGCCCGGCCCCTCCCCGAACTGAGGCTCCTATGTTTTCGAAATTTAGGTTGATTTCAGTAACTGACCATTCGGGCCAATTATCTCTTTCACTTCTGTGTTTTTTTGTTTGTTTGTTTGTTTTTTATCCTCAACTGAGGATATTCTTTCAATTGATTTCTAGAGAGAATGGAAGGGAAGTGGGGTGGGGGGGAGAGAAACATCCATGTGAGCCTACTGAGGAATCTGCAACAGAGGAACATGCCTTTGACCAGGAATCCAACCCAAGACCCTTGATCCAAGCAAGGGCTGATGCCAAATCACTGAGCCAAACCAGCCAGAGCAATTCTTGTGCTTTAAATTCCTGTTCTTATATTTAAACTAGAGGCTCAATGCACGAATTCATGCACCAGTGGGGTCTCTTGGCCTGGATTGCAGGATTGGGCTGAAACCGGCTCTCTGACATCCCCTGAGGGTCCCAGATTGCAAGAGGTTGAAGGCCAGGCCGAAGGAGCCCACAGGTGCACAATCAGGGCCAGGGAGGGACAAGGGCGCTTAGCCACCTGGGGAGAGACTGTGGGAGGGCATGTCTGGCCTGTCTCACTCAGTCCTGATGGGCAGGAACCTAACAGCAAGCTAAACTTCCAGTCAGGGCATCTGCCCCCTGGTGGTCAGTGCACGTCATAGCAAGCCATTGGGTAGCCTTTACATCTCATTAGGGAGAGGCTGGTCTGCCCGGCCCAGGAGGGCATCGTTCCATTGCCACTGAGGACCCCACTCCCCTCAGAGAGAGGCTTCTGGGGTGAGGTGGGCACTAAGGGAGCTGGGATCTGTGGGAGCCTGGGTGCCTCCCTGAGGTTCTTTAATATATTTTTACTGATCTCAGAGAGGGAGAGAAGGAGAGAGAAATATCAGTGTGAGAGAATCATCGATTGGTTGCCTCCCCCCCACCCTTCCCCACTGAGGACCAAGCCCGAAACACGGGCATGTGCCCTTGACCAGAACTGAACCTGGGACCCTTCAGTCCACAGGGCGGTACTCCATCCACGGAGCCAAAGCAGGGCTGCCTGGCTTGAAGGTTATTCGTGAGGGGTGGGCGCCCTCTGTCGGAGGTAGCGGGACTTGCCCGGTGGGTTCTGGGTGCCGCCCTCATCTGGGCAGGTGGGGCCAGGGTGACCTGATCCAGCACAGGGACCTTCCCCAGGGCCCGCGGGGCTGCTGCTGACACTGCGGCTGTGGGATCCAGATCAGAAGTGATGTGTCTCAGTTCACACCCACACAGGGTTCAAACAGCCACTCATTTCCTACTTTAAACACAGAAAAAAGAGAAAGAACTGACATGTTTTTGGAGGACCAGCCCCACAGTGAGGCACTGGAACTGGGTGTTTCGGTGCCGGGAGGTGGTGCGGGCGCGGGAGACGGAGGCGGGTCCGGGAGGCTGTGTGTCCCGCCAGGGCTGGCGGGAGAGCCGCTCAGGCAGCAGGCCCGGAGTCCGCACCCTGGGCAGGGATCCTCCCCTGGGGTTGGGCCCATGCCCTGCTGGTCACCTTCCCTGGAACCGGGATGTGGGCCGGTCAAACCCCCGCGTTCATTAGCAGCCCCCAGGCCCTCCAGGGTGCGGGTGGTTTCCGTGCCCACAGCGCTGTTCACCTGCAGCCTGAGAGGCCTGCTTCTGGGAGGCGGGAGGCAGAGGAGGCGGAGGCTCCAGCAGGGCACCCGGTTCAGTGGTTCGCCTGCCTTCCCCTCCCCTCCCCTCCCCTCCCCTCCCCTCCCCTCCCGGTGCACCTCTGGCAGGAGGCGGTCAGGGCGCAGGTGTGGACCTGGGCGCTGTGCAGAGCCTGCGTCTGACTGTCCAACCCCTCGCATCTGCCATCACCCGGTCATGGGAACTACCCCCCCACACACACACCTCGCAAGTCTGTTTTCCCATTTGTAAAGGGAGGAACTAGTATGAGAATCAAGTGAAGTGATAAACATTAGATACAAACATTTCTTTAACACTGCCAGGTTGACCTAAAGGTCATTAAAGGCTACCTTGAAAGCAGGGTGCCCTGTGGCTGTGTCCTTTTTCTCATTATATAATATTGTTGATTTTTTACAGAGAGGAAGGGAGAGGGATAGTTAGAAAACATCGATGAGAAACATCCATCAGCTGCCTCCTGCACATCCCCTACTAGGGATGTGCCCGCAACCAAGGCACCTGCCCTTGACCGGAATTGAACCTGGGACCCCTCAGTCCACAGGCTGAATCTCTCTCTGTCCACTGAGCTAAACCGGTTAGGGGTCCTTTTTCTTTTAAATCCTCACCTAAGGATATGTTTATTGATGTGAGAGAGGACTAAGGAGGGAAGGAGGGAGGGAGGGAGGGAGCAACGTTGTTCCATTGCCTCCAGTTTACACCAACCCATTGACCCATGGGGGGGGGGGGGGGGGGGGACGTCAAACCTACAACCAAGGTACGCTCCCTGATCGGAAATCGAACTCGCATCCTTTTGGTGCAGGGACGACGGCCTGAGTGGCCGAGCCACCCGGCCAGGGCAAGCTGAGTCCTTTCAGAAACTGAGTGCTGTGCTCCAGTGAGCCCTAAACCCAGGCCTGGCCTCACACACACAACAGATGGTCCTCCCACCGACTGCCCTGCTGCTCCCTCTGGTGGGGAGAAGCAGCACGTGGCTGTGGGAACCACAGGTCCAGCCCAGGGCAAGTTCTCACAGGAGGGGAGAGAGCCCGTTAGCAATTCTCTGGTTTACGTGTGTGGCCGATAGTTTCCCAGGTAACGGCCCCAATATACGTGTCTACCATGAATGTCTGAGCTGTCCATTTCTACGTCATGGAATGGATGACATGGAATTAAAGAATACACATGGAAACGTAGTCTTTGTTTATTATTGCTATAATCAAGGCAAAAATCTCTTAAACAATTAGCCTTGATAATGGAAATATAATCAGAACCATTATTCATGAATTTACAGTTTGATCTCTGCTGCTCAGACTTCAGTTTCACCAATACCACCTCCCTAGCCCTTCGCTGCACAGAGGACGAGAGAAACGGGAGCCACAGAGCACAGCCCAGCCCTTCTGAGTGACCCGACCTCAGGCCAGCCATTCGCTCACTGGGAAGCCATTTCAGCCTCTGCCCCAAACACTGGAGAGGAAGGGGGAGAACGGCCCGCCCTCAGAGGGTCCGCTGGACAAACCCACAAAAGGAGCATCGCTCACACGGGTGCCTCGAGCCCTGCAGGGCCGGGCCGCGTCGTCCTGAGCGTGAACTCCTGGGCGGGCAGAGGGTGCTCGTGACCAATCTCCAAGCTCACTGAGGAAGGACCCAGCTTTACCCAGAAAGACTCTGTCCGGTTTATTTTACCTTAATTTACATCTGTACAGGCAATAATAAAAAGGCTATTATTATACAATTGAGTGAATTTTACCTAGTTTCAAGAATAAATGCATGCAATTACAAATGAGAGGTAGAAACACTGTATTAAAGACCTAAGAATACAAACATCATATAAATAAGTGTTAAAATTAACTGCTGGAATTTCATTCAGATAAATAAGTAAATTATATTACTTCGTCCAAGTAAAGGGAAGCCTTTTTGTTTTTATCATGTCACTAAATTAGATTAATGCCAAAGAGCTCCTGTGCAATTTGTCAGTTCAAATGTATTATCTAAAAGGATTAAGATAAAAGGATTAAAACTGGAGAGTGGTTTATTCAAGTATTCAAGCAGGTAAATAAAAGAAACCAAATAAAGTACAAGGTAGGACCATTCTGGAGGGATGTCAACTGCCCACCTTCTCCATAACCAGCTGTTGGGTAAACTGCCAGGATTAACACGGAAAGCACGTATTAAGCTACAGAGCTGCCGTTTTCCTAAGAGAAAACAACCCTCACTGCCCACTAATTTCATGTGGGCACTCCCCATCATTAACAAGCCTTACATCCCAACATGACTCGGCCCTATTAGGATTCTAGACATATCTCTTGACTGACATCGTTACCTAATACTGCCCAATAACCCAGCTGTTAAGAGGCCAAGAAGTCCCAGCCATCAGTGCACATTCCGCATGCACAATAAAGAATGCAGCCAAAGGCCGACAGCTGCCACCCAAAACATCACTGAGGAAACCTGGGTGCAGAGGAAGAGGTTAAACACACGCAAAGGTTCACCTGAACACAGGTCCTTCCACCGAAAAGCCTACTAGCGATTACGTGTGACTCCGGAAAGGGTGTGTGTGTGTACAATCAAGTAAAGTATTTTTCAAACAAGTCCATTGTGCCTCAGTTAGTTTTAGATTGCAAAATCCAATACAGAGTTGTTTTAATAAATTAGTGCAATATATGAAAGACCTGGGAAGATTAACAAGTGTCCACATTAGGTGAAAGTGAAGAGTTCACCATTCCTTTTCAGAGCTGTCTTCCACGTCCCTGATGCCGTTTCTTCCTGAGCTGTTCCAGGGTCATGCTCAGACTCGGACAACATGCCCCAGCATCCAGCTGCCGGACGATGTCGCTGCGCACTTTCCACCAGGAGACACGTGGAACCCCACACACTGCTCTGGTGACTGAGCGAAGGGCTACTCGTTTTGTTCCATCTTAACTGTCCTTAAGAATAAATGTACTAATAATGCTAGTTCTAAGGTACATTTATTTACCAAGTGCAAACAGAGCCGAGGGAAATACTCTTGCTTCTGCTTCTACAGAGGACAGAACAGGGTGACTCTCCAATAAGGCGGGTTTCCCACAAGCACATCGTTGTCTTTGGTAGCGGCCAGGCAGCAGGCCGGGCCTGGCACCTGCTGCTCTCAGGGCGTGGGAGAGCGGCCGCAGAGCGCCGACAGCCTTCTTTCGATGCTAGATTTATCTGGAAGCAAAACAAAAATCCACCACAATGAGGGTCATTTATATTCAAAGAAAAACTAATAGGAAATCCTCATCTCTGATCTGTTCTAGCCCAAAGGTTAACAATTCTGAGTACTTTTTTTTCTTTCTGCCTGGTAACTGTTTAAAAAACTACATGATTTGTAGTTTAGTACTGCACATTGGTAAATTTAGATTAGGGTGTTGAGTAAAGGACATTTAGATTTTAACAGCAGGCTTGCTTACAATTGCAAGTAATTTTTACAATTTCCATCCCTGGTAGCACTCCAGTGGGCCACCCCCCCTACTCAAAGCCCAGATCACTGTGCTCATATGTGACAAGTGACATATGCTGGATCCTGCCAACCTCCCTCTGCTATCTACACCAAATGTGCAGTACAGAGGGTCTTAGGATCCTTCAGTCACTAAGCCACAAAGCTTAAAATAATTGCATGTATTATTATTTAATAATAAAAACAAAGTGTTCTGCACCCGCAGACACATAGCACAGCCATGCAGAGGGAAAAACCTAAGGTAACGGCAGAAGCATCAGCACTTCACAAGCATCGTCTCTGAGCCTCACACAGCTCTGCTCCTGTATCTTCCGGAAGAAACGGAGGCCACAGAAAGGCTAAGTAATCTGCTCACGAGTGGAAAACCGTCCCCAGGCAGCAGGACTCCGAACTCCAAGCCCTCCTAACAGGCCACAGCGGACACACCCCTTCTACGTCAGCTTACACTTGTGCATGTTTTCCACGTCCGCGGGGTCCGGGAGGATCTTGGTCAGGCCTTCCAGGAGCAGCGCCGCCTTGTAGTAGCGGTACGCGATGTCCTCCGTCTGCTGGAACATCTCGTCCAGGGCTGCAGACTGCACCTGCGCAGCAACGAGACCAGAGGAGCCAGCTTTTCCAAGACAATGCACCCGTCTGGGCAATATGGCTCTCAGGGAGGCTGTCTAACATACATACCATCTGCCAAACAACACAAAGCTTAAAAGACTCAGCAGATGAGCAACAGCAAAAATAGCTTCCTGCCCTAGCTTGGCTCAGTGGACAGAGCATCAGCCTATGGACTGAAGGGCCCTGGGCTCGATTCCAGTCAAGAGCATGCACCTCGGTTGCAGGTTCCTCCCTGGCTTAGGCCCTGGTCGGGGCTGGTGTACGAGGCAACGAATAGATGCTTCTCTCTGACTTGCCTTCTCTCTTCCATTCTAAAAAAAATAGGAGCTTCCTGACAAAAGTGTTATTCTGCATGCAAACACAGCCTTCTTGTTCTCAGACATTCGTGACTCACAGGAATCTGTACTTCCAAACTGGCCCTTCTTCAATGTCACTACAGAGTTTATGTTAAATATACACGTTCACACTGGGGTAACCTGGCATTTCATGAAAAGTAGGTTTTGTAATAATAAAACAAATAATGTTGAAAGTCATTTCTCAGCTTCTTGGTTTAGTGACACTACCATCTGGCAGAGCCACTCATTTCTTCAGAGACAGTGTGTGAGCACACTGAGGGCCCGGCACCGGCACCCGGGAAGAGCTCCCGGTCCGGGACGGAGGCCTGGTTCCCGGGTGTGGTGTTCCGGGAGGAAGCCCAGGCGGCACCGGACACGTATGACTGCACCCACATGACCACAGGAGGAGAGATCAGGGAAAGCTGTCAGGAAGTGATGCTCAGGCCAAGTCACAGCGAAGCAGTGGGCCTCAGCCAGGTGACGGGAAGGTGAGGAGGGGTTTGCCGTAAATAGGGGACAGCAGAATTATCCACAGGGTTATGCGTTTTCTCAACAGCACTGGGATTTTCTCTCATTATTAAATGCCTGGACTGTCAGTAACCCAGTATCCTAATTTACTTGTCAATATGTACTGTCTCCATCAAAACATAACTTAAAGCCACTTGCAGTAAGATAAATACAATGCACACAGAAACTCAGAGCCAGGAAAAAGAAGGAGAAACACATGGCAATAGCTCTGAGCAGGCTAAGCGTCCAGGGCAAAAGGAGGACTTGCTGAAGTCTCAAGGCCCTTATTCCCGGAAGAGAAGGGCACAACCATCCCCTCGGAGGGCGTCTCCCTGGCACAGCTTCCATAAAGGCCATCGTGTGAAGTCCTCACTCGGCACAGGGTGTTGCAATGCATGTTACTCACGCCAACAGTTTCTATTCCAAAGTTGTTTTCGTATGACTTTTTATTATAAAGGTTTTCAAAGTTAAGTCCAAGGATGTACCAGAACAGTGCAATGCAACATAAACAAATTTGAGGGGAAGAATGGAGGTCTATTATGTTAATGTGGTAAAAATAAGCTCAGTCAACAATCAGTTTTCCCCCATGAAACTATATTTTTATTGATTTCAGAGAAGGGGAGAGAGAGATAGAGAGCGAGAGAGCGAGAAGAGCGAGAGCGAGAGCGAGAGCGAGAGCGAGAGCGAGAGAGAGAGAGAGAGAGAGAGAGGAAGGAACATCAATGATGAGAAAGAATCACTGATTGGTTTCCTTTTGCACACCCACTATTGGGGATGGAGCCTGCAACCCGGGCTTGTGCCCTATCAGGAATCAAACTGTCACCTCCTGGTTCACAGGAGCGGTGGCAGCCGGGTCAGCACTATCCTGTAACAGTCCCCAGTTTCTTCTGCTCGTTAGAGCAGTTTCTCCCCATGAGTCAGAAGACAAATTCTTCCCAACTGCAAAGCAGATTTTACTTTGCGTCTGTAATTAAGGAATCTGAGCACATGCATTTCTGTGGATTAACAGCAGTATTTTTTTCTAATGTTTATCAAGCCACAATTTCTTATACTGGGGAAAATGCAGAAATAGATCCACTAAAAGCCCCAAGATGCAAACTGTGGGATGATCAGATCATGCTATTAGCAATCTTAGAGAGGAATAGTGGACCGTTACCAAATGTGGTAACAGCATGACTCAATGTGTTGCTTGAACACTAAGTGCAAGGTTACTACGAGGTGAGAACACAATCCTTGGGACTTGGCAGTGGTGGGCATAAGCCCTTCGTAAAGGGCTAGACACTGCCAAGCAGGCATTGGATGGAAAAGCTCCGCTCCAGGCGGGCAAGAGGGCGGCTCACCATCTCCACGGCGCAGTTGTAGATGAGCCTCTCTGCCGTGACGCTGTTCACTTCGTCCATGAAGCGCTGCTTGTCGGAGAAGAAGCGGGTCAGCTTCTCAGTCAGCTTCTTGCACATGGTGATGCACAGCTTGTACCGTTCGTTCAGGTTTCTGACAACTGAAAAGAACGAATTCTCATTTCCTCCAGAGGAAACACACAGCAACACGCACCTGCCTGCTGGTTTAAGGAACGTGGCACTAAACGGTCGTTTAAAAATGACTGAAGGTTCGAATGCTCTTTCCGTGAGAGGACTGAGAGACAGCGCTTCTGACTGCTCTCCGTAACAGTTAAATGGCAAAAGCACAAGCAGAGAAGCCGGCACCTCCTGCCCAGTAAGAATATTTAACACCTGACTCCCACCCAGGGGCCGGAGTCGTGGGGAAGGGCCGCCCCAGCACGCCACCTACCTTGTTTCACCGCCGAGGACGGGCTCAGCTTCCCAGCCTTGATCTGGGCTTTAGCGAGATGCAGCGACGCCGCCAGCAGCTGGGCCGCTTTCATGTAGAGCACCAGCTGCTCCACCCGCCTGCAGGAGGGCAGCCAGTGAGCGGCAGCCTGCCAGCCCGCCAACGAGGCTCTGCCGTCCCAGCACCATGACAACAGCCCCACAGGAAGGCACGGGCCGGGATGTTTTAATGCACACGACTCCGGAGGCAAGGTTTCGGCGTGGGAAAGGATGTGTGTACTCTGAATACAATGACACACTCGGATAAAAACCAGTACAGCCTCTTATCATCAGTACCTTCCACAGGGAAAAGGCAGCACTAAGGGTCAGAGCCTCCGGTCTGGGCTCCTGCAGTGGGGCCTAGCAGGACAGCAGCTCAGTGAGCTGGGACCGTCAGCAGCAGCAGGCCTCCCTCAGACAGGACTGCAGAAAGCCTCCAGGACGCGGAAACAAAGGGCACCTACCCCCAGTCCTTGCTCAGCCGGCTGATCTGGTCCACAAGCACGCTCTCCTGCGCCTGGCACAAGGAGCCGGCGGACGAGCTCAGCTCCGGGAGGCCGCCCCGCGCCGCCGTCAGGTCCAGCACGCACTCCGTGAACGTCAGCATCACGCTCAGGTGGCGCAGGGTGTCTGTGTGTTCTCGCTGCACAAAGCCACTGGTCTTAGAAACTCTTAGAAGAGGTGCATGCTCACCTCAGTGTAAACCAACACTGCTGACACTGTCTATCCTTACGAACATCAGAATGAGCAAAGGAGATGGGCATTTTTAAATTCCAGGAAACTAGTGAGGATATAGACACAAATAAACCAAATGTGGATGTGAGCACGTTTGTGTGTATATCTGAGCACCCACAAAATTTAGCTTCAAAGATATGAAGTCACTGTGCTTTTACCAGAAAATGAAACACCAAATGATTCAATCGCTATCACTATACAGGAGACAAAACCATGACAAAACAGATACCAAGATTGCAAGGATATTCTACACAGGAAACCGTTCTTCTTGATGGTTCAGTGAATGCTATTGACTTATAACTTGACTTCTGGTGGTTTTCAGGTTAACAGCGACTCCTAACACCAAAGCTTTAAACTTCTGTGATCTTTTCAGTTAGAGAGGGAAGCACAGACACACACAATAGTATGCAGTGAAAATGGATTTCAAAATTAATGTTGTTAGGAGATTTATTTTTACCTATAAATATATTTTCAAATCTGAATAAAACTCAGTTTCTTCCTCTCCCAGAGAATCATTTTCCTAGAGACAAGAGCATGAACCAATCACCTCCTGAAAGTCTGCTCCGCCAGCACCGGGTGTGCGCACACACACACACACACACACACACACCCATGACGGCCCACGCACAGCGGCACACTTCCTGTCAAAGTGGATGGAGATGGGAAACCTCTGAGGACTGCTTTACCAGTTCCAGCCTGTGTTAAAACCCTACAAGCTCTGCCACAAGATCACTACTGGAGCTGAGTGCAGTGTGATGTGAACTATGTAATTCTCATTCACACAAGACGAAGGCCAGCACTGAGGGGAAGCTGCTTCTCCAGCTGGTCCAGAGCACTGGTCATCATAGACGGAATGCAGGCAAGGAGGTGGTCTTGGCATCACAGAATCACCTCTTTTCTGGGTGGCTCAGCAAGCTGTGACCACGGTGTGCTTTTCTTGCAGAGCTGGGCCGTGGAGACATGGTGCTGCTCTACAAACCTCAGGGAGGTGAGCGCCAGTGTGCTTGGCCGGGTTATTTCCAAGGTTAGGACTAACCTGCCTCACAGTTTATTTTTTAAAACCTGACTTTAAGTGTGTTACTTTTATATTATGAAGAAAAAACAGCTTTAAGAATAAAAGTTATGGTTTTAGGAGAAACATTATACTTCAAAAGTCCTATAAGTAGTAAATAAACTTCAGATTAAAAAATTAAGAACACAAAATCAACCAAAGCTTACTATGGATGAGTGCCATGGTCAACATTATTCTGAAAATATATCAGCAATGTTTTTCCAATGGAAAAGGTCAGTTTAAAAGGAGAAAACAAACTTCAGAATTCCGATTCTCTTCCCTACCTCCATCAGTGTCTCCTCCGGCAGCTCAGGCGCTTCGAAGGTGATGAGCCCCTCCAGGCTGGGGGGAGAAGCCCCATACGGCGTGTATCTCAGGCTGGGGGCTGCCTCTGTTCCTGGAGGGGAGGGCCCCCAGCACGGCCCGGGTGGGGAGCCCACACACACGCGGCTGCTTGCGGAGCACAGGGAGCCCCCCGAGCTGCTGGAGCCCACTGCAAAGACAGGACACGGCTCAGTGCCAGCAAGCGCGCACGCCCTCCTGCGGCTCCCACCGCCAGAGAAACACGGAACACGCCACGAGCAGCACCGATCCCACTGAGCATACGAGTGGCTTCCATTCTGCCATGTCAACCTTTACACCTTGTCATTATGTATATCTTAGAGGTCATCATAGCTACTTTTTAAATATTGTTTTAAACAGATTTACAGCATATACATTTCTTCCTGTTTCTCCACATTTTCATAATTATAAAACTCAGTGGATGATTAAATTTATATACATAATACTTAGCTAAAAGCATTTATACGGTTTCTGATCTTTTAATATCACAAATAACACTAATAAAATCTAAATTTCCCCTTCTTTGCAGTAATTTACTTGTGATTAATGCTCCAAAGAGGTATGATAAACAGGAATGGGATTACCATAGAGCCAATATCATAAACATTTAATAGCTTTGAAAGAACTGCACCGCTCTCTGCCGCAGCTGGGAGTCAGCGCAGAGCCCGCTAACCACGCCGCCCTGGGCGCCTGCTCGCATTCAATACAGATATCCATTAACAGCATCCAAGGTTCCTTTCTTAGAATGAAAGCTTAGTATTAACACATTCTCAATCTTAAAACAAGATGGTTAGCTCCACTTGCTCTCTTGTCTGTTCATACCTTTTGCTTATTAACCTACTGAGTCTTGCTTCGTGACTGATTTAGCATGTGGGAACCTGAAGGACACAGGAGCAATCTTGTAATGGCAAATGACAGCTCGTTTTAAGTCCCATCTAACTGTTCTCTCCAGGGTTGGTATTTACTATCCTGTCTAAATGTAGGATTAAGTGCCAAGATAGGGACCCAAAGTATAAAGGGGAAAAAAGGTAAAATTAGGTTTTGAAATACACAAAACAAAGATAAACTACTTGTCATTTTCAAAATCTTTCCTGGCTGCACTAAAACCAGCCTTCAGTATAACCACAATTATATAAGTATATAATGTAGTTCTTTACTTCATAAAGGTTTTTTCCCCCAAATATTGCCTCATTTATTTCTTATAACCCTTTAAGGAGAAGAAAACAGTTATTTCCATGTCACTGGAAAAAGAAACCGAATTCCAGAGAGGCTCAGTGACTTGCTATGTAAGTCACACTATCACGTCATTCTCAGAACACGGTACTCCAAGCACGAGACAGAGACGACGGAAGGCGATTCCTCACCTGAGGTTGTCCTTGGCCGAAGGACTGTGTGGGTCCGAGTGGGGGCCGTGGCGCTGTGCGGAGGAGACCCCACAGTGAACAGGACGGCCCTGGAACTTGCTGCTGCTCCCCCCGGAGGCACCAGGGCCACACCACAGGCTCCTGCAGGGCGGCCACACAAAGGCGCATTACTTCGACAGTGTTTATATTTGGGGGTGGGACTATAGGGAGACCTTCACTTTTATATTGTTGGTTTGTCATTTTTTACAATAAGCATTCAATACAGATATCCATTAAAACTATTTTATAATAATCTTTCATGGCTACGAATCTCTTTCACACCAAAGTCCAGTATTCAGTTACTTCTGTGTACTTTTAAAATACATGAACTGGCCCTGGCTGGGTGGCTCAGATGATTGGAGCATTGCCCCGTACATTAAAAGGTTGCAGGTTCGATCCCCAATTGGGGCACATGCAGGAGGCAATGCTTCTCAAAACCAATGTTTCTCTCTCACATAATGTTTCTCTCTCTCTCATATGTATATAGGACACCCAGCACACAAAGCTTCCCTACTAAAGGAAGCAGCGGAAATGCAGAGACAAAGTAACAGATCACAAATGAAAGAAATGGAGAAAAATAAACAACTAGATATAGAATTCAAAACCACATTTATAAAGTTTTTCAAGAATTTCCTAAAAAAGGCTGATAAATTCAGCCAGACCCTTGAGGATATGAAAACGGACCAACTAGAAATTAAGCATACACTGCCGAAAGTAAAGAATAATATACAGAGATCCAACAGCAGACTAGAGGAACACAAGAACCAAGTCAAAGATCTGAAAATCAAAGAAGAAAAAACACCCAATCGGAAAAGAAAAAAGAATCCAAAACTATTAAGATAGTGAAAGGAGTCTCTGGGACAACTTCAAGTGTACCAACATCCGAATTATGAGGGTGCCAGAAGAAGAGAGAGAGCAAGATATTGAAAACCTATTTGAAGAAATAATGACAGAAAACTTCCCCCACCTGGTGAAAGAAATAGATTTACAAGTCTAGGAAGCGCAGAGAACCCCAAACAAAAAGAATCCAAAGAGGACCAGAGCAAGACACATCATAATTAAAATGCCAAGAGCAAAGAGAATATTAAAAGTAGCAAGAGAAAAACAGTTAGTTACCTACAAGGGAGCACCCATATGACTGTCAGCTGATTTCTCAACAGAAACGATGCAGGCCAGACAGGAATGACAAGAAATATTCAAAGTGATGATAAAAAAAAAAAAGCTAAAGGAGTTCACCACCACCAAAGCAGTATTATATGAAATGCTGAAAGATATTCTTTAAGGAAGAAGAAGAAAAAAGTTAAGATAAAAATTATAATCAACAAATACATATATATCAACAAGTGAATCTAAAAATCAAGTAAATTAAAAATGTGAGGAACAGAATAAACTGGTGAATATAATAGAATTAGGGGCAAAGAAAGGGAGTGGACTGATAATTATCAGGGGGAAAGGGGTGTGGGGAATGTAGGAAGAGACTGAAGTAAAATCAGATACCTATGGATGAGGACAATTGGGAGGGGAAGTAAGGGCAGAGGGTGGGGTGGGAACCGGGTGGAAGGGAGCTATGGGGGGAAAAGGAGAAACAATTGTAATAATCTGAGCAATAAAGATTTATTAAATTAAAAAGAAAAAAGAAAAAAAAAATCCAAGTCTGGGTTAGGCCTGGAATCTAAATGTGGGTCTACAGTTGAAACAGCCCTTGGAATAGCTATGCAAGGGCCAGGGGTCTCAGTGACCTGTGGGTCTTTACAGGAACTCCTTGCTGTATAAGAAATAGTTAATGAGTGGTTAGCCTAACTTTAGCCAGGATTAACATACTGATAAAAAGTTATCTTTGTCAGAATTCCTCCTAACTCTTAGGCCATTGGTCATCAAGATATGGAACAAGTCCCTGTCTTGATAGGCTATTGAGAAAGACAAAAAGAACAAGGACGGAGTGAAGAAATCTGTGCCAGTAAGCTCATGCTCAATCAACAGAAAAGGTAAGTAGAATAATTACCTCCAGCCCAGCCTAAGAGGCCCTGGAATCTTTGCAGGGGCTATCTTACATGGTAAAAGGAAATTAAAGCTGCAGGTGACCTTAACATAAAGATATAATCCATGTAATCACAAGGGTCCTTTAAGTGCAGAGTAGGGAGGAAGGTCAGAATCTAGACTGGCCACTGCTGACTTCCAGACGGAAGGGGCCGAGCAGGGATGAGAGCAGCATCCGGAAGATGGAGAAGGCAAGGAAACGCACCCTCCCTGGAGTCCACGGGAGCCTGCTGGCACCTGTACTTTGCCCAGAGACCAATTTCAGACTTCTGACCTCCACTAACTGTAGGTAATACATTTATGTTGTTTTAAACCACCAATATTGTGATAGTTTGTTATAGCAACAATGGGAAATTAATGAATACATTAACAAATTACTCGCCCCCACCCCTCTCCAAAAGCAAATACTTTTTCTTACCTATATCCATTGGTCGTTCTGTATTTAAACTGTCTGTACTGCCCTGATGTCCACCTAAAAGTGTCTTGACTTGCTGATCGGATAGTTTCCCAGTACTGACGGATCTAAAAAGAGTGATTTTAATAATGAAAACCCCATACGTAAATAATAAGGATTTAAGCCAAATCATAAAAGGGTTAATGAGAAGTCAGAGAACAAGGAGACAAAAAAAAAAAGATAACAATTCAAAGAAGAGATAAACTTCATTAACTAATATAAACAAGAGGCAGAAATAGGCTATTCAGGAAATTCAGCAAGAGCTCTGTATTTCCAGCTACAGGAAGCATCTACGGTTTTCAGACTCTAAATGTATACAGTTGATATCCAGCTACTAATTTGGTTTGGTTGTTCTATAACAGAAATATATGTACTGTGGTAGTTTTCGTGTTTATTTTTTAATTTTCCAATACATTTTCATTGATTTTAGAGAGGAAGAAAGAGGGATAAAGATAAAAACATCAACTCCTAGCCCCCTACTAGCATCAAGCCAGGCATGTGCCCTGACCAGGAATTGAACTGTGACCTCCTGGTTAATGGGCCAATGCTCAACCCCTGAGCCACACCAGCAGGGCAGTTTTCATGTTTATAGCTGGAAGGAAACGGTGTTTTTTACCTGCCAAACACTGCCTTGCTTTGCTGCTCAGACGTCTGCCTCTCACTTCCTGGCAGTAAGAGACAATGAGGGCATTCTCGTGGGTCATCCCCATCTTTAGGTTGCCCTTCAGAAGGCCAATGACGAGGAACCAACGCTAGCAGGTTGGAAGATGCTTGTGTTTTGGGGATTTTGAAAGGAGCTGTGGTCTAAAGAAACACGTAAGCTGGTTATTACGATGTGTAAAGCATTCAGCATTGGCAGGCTGCATAGCCCTGCGGCCAGGAACATTGACTCTGAAGTTGTTCAGAACTGGATTAAAATACTGGCCCTTCTTCCACGTACAGCCTCTCTAACCATGGACAGCTCAGTGGGACAATGTACATAAAGCATTCAGCAAGTCAAAGGCCTCCACTGTACCTGCACATAGCAAGTGCTCATTAAGTTGTAGCTCTTCTCATCATAAGTCCTTTCCATACTAGTTCCTGACCTATTGTGGAGAGCTCAGGCCAGCTATTCCATGGTATTGCTGCCTCTGCATCCATTCTGTTTGGCCAAGTGGACTGCAGGGACCTAAAACTGACATTTGCCTTCCTGTTAAGTGCACACCCTAGCTAGCAGCTCACAGCATCACTAGCAAATGTAAGCTCCTTATGTGACCCCCCAATTCCCAGGATCTTCTTCGCATACCCTTTAGGTAAGACCCCCATGGAGCTTGCCAGAACCCTGCTCTTTTGGTTTCAATTGAGCAATCTAGCCTTAGTAAGGAACCCGGAATCACTCTTCCCATGAACCCTAATAAAGGCATGCGCCCAGGTCCTGCCTCTTCCTCCCTGGCTGCACGCTCTCTGGGCATCCCTGTGGGCCCACCCCAGGTGTGCAGGGTATCTTTCGGGAGCTGTGAGTAAAAGACCTCTATTTCAATTTCTCTCATGGTCTGTTGTTGAACTGGCTCTCCATCCGTCCATTTCACAATGTTAACAAAGTCGTAACCCCTACAAAGGTTTAACAAACACACCTTGGTAGGAGAGCCAATTATGGTTGGTAAAGGGGTTTTAAAGAACCAGTCAGAACTCCGTGGAGAGGACCCCAGGTGTCTGGTGGGAGAAGTCCCCAGGCTGCCAGGCCGACTGGGCTGAGGGGAGTGACTGCACCCAGCGCCGCTGTGGGATGGGCACACGGGGTCGGAGTGCTGCTTTCGGAGCTTCTGCTTGTGCTGGTAGATGTCGGTGAGGCTGGGGGCCCTCTGCAGTCTAGCACCCAGTAAGAAAGACTGTGGTGACTGAGCCTGCAGCACTGAGGAACCTACCAAGAAACAGATGCAGCGTTAACCCAGTGGGAAGAAGTACATGGCAAAATCATAAGGATTAAGAAGACAAAGCTTTTTATTTAATTTATCTTACTGATTTCAAAGAGGGAGAGGGAAAGAAACATCAATGATGAAAATCATTGATTGGCTGCCTCCTCCATGCCCCCTACTAGGTATTGAGCCCGCAACCTGGGCATGTGCCCTTGACCAGAATCGAACACAGGACCCTTTGGTCTACAGGCCAATGCTCTATCCACTGACCCAAACCGGCCAGGGCAAGAAGACAATTCTTTTTTTTTTTTTTTTTTTTTTTTCAAGATTTATTGATTTTGTACAGAGAGGAAGGGAGAGAGATACAGAGTTAGAAACATCGATGAGAGAGAGTCATCGATCAGCTGCCTCTTGCACACCCCCTACTGGGGATATGCCCGCAACCAAGGTACATGCTCTTGACCGGAATCGAACCCGGGACCTTTCAGTCCCCAAGCCGACGCTCTATCCATTGAGCCAAACCGGTTTAGGCAGAAGACAATTCTTAAAATGAGAATTTCAATGAACGCCTTATTTTCCATGAGATATTCTAAAAATGTTTACTTGGCAGGAGACTATTTTTTGGCATCCTTTACAAACCAGTGACAAGAATAGTTACTGACATTCTCAGGAGACAAAAGTGGATAATGGGTATATTAGCTGCTTTATCAGCAGCTAGCAAACAACTCAGATTAACGCAAGGTCCAATTAGAACCAAAACAAATACAATGAACAGGTTATTTTCCATCCTTTACACATATTTGGGTTTAGCAATGTGATTATTCTAAAATAAACTTTTCAAACGGACCTAGAATAACCCCCTATTAAAAAAATATTTAAGGAGAATTAGATAATATACTGTTCCTGAATTTGATTTTATTTGTTTAAAATTAACAAGCTTATGTCCCCGGCCGATGTGGCTCAGGTGGCTGGACATCATCCCATGCACCAAAAGGCTGTCAATTCCATTCCCGGTCAGCACACACACCCAGGTTATGTGCCAATCCCCAGGAAGGTGTGCAGGAGGCAGCCGAGTGACGTGTCACTCTCATATCAATGTTTGTCTCGCTCTTGCCCTTCCTCTCATTTTAAGAATAAAAAATCTTCAGGTATTCTTGACTCTAAGGGGATACCTACCGGGGCCTGGGAGACAGTCTTGATATGCTGAGCAATTGGCAACAATGAGGGACTTCACCCACACAAGCCTGGTTGCTGCCAACTTACGGTCCACTAAGCCTTGAGCTCCACTTACAAATATTTTGGCACTTCTAAGCCAAACTACCCCAATAACATTAAGAACATAAAAATCTTCTCAGATGCCGAAACCGGTTTGGATCAATGGATAGAGCGTCGGCCTGCGGATTGGGGGGTCACAGATTGGGGGGTCCCGGGTTTGATTCCGGTCAAGGGCATGTACATTGGTTGCGGGCACATCCCAGTGGAAGGTGTGCAGGAGGTAGCTGATCGATGATTCTCTCTCATCGATGTTTCTAACTCTCTATCCCTCTCTCTTCCTCTCTGTAAAAAATCAATAAAATATATATTTTTAAAAATCTCAGAGATCTATAACTATCATCTTTCTTTCTTTTTTTAAAATATATTTTAATGATTTTTTACAGAGAGGAAGAGAGATAGAGAGCTAGAAACGTCGAGAGAGAAACATCGACCAGCTGCCTCCTGCACACCCCCTACTGGGGATGTGCCCGCAACCAATGTACATGCCCCTGACCGGAATCTAACCTGGGACCTTTCAGTCCGCAGACTGATGCTCTACCACTGAGCCAAACCGGTTTTGGCTATAACCATCATCTTTCTAAAAATGGACATCAATAGAAGCTTTTGCCTCTGACCACTCCTGGCTAATTTCATACTGAATTTGATATTTAACTTTTCATAACTGGGTTCTGCCAAACACACACAGGCACAAGTACGTGTGTGTGTGTGTTCGCGCATATGCACAAATAAGTAAAATTAGTGGCAAAGTGTTATGGACCGGAAAGCTAAGTTGTAAGCTTTCCCAAGGATTAGAGTTCCTTTAACTGGCCAACTCCTCAAATACATGAACAGTAAGATGTGACTTTAAAAAGCATGATTTACACACATCTTTAGAGGCATATATGGTACATAATAAAGCAAATAAACATCCATATTTGTTTTTTATTTGATGCTAACGAGTAGTTCTTATCAAGAATAGTATTACTTGGGAACAGGGGTGAGTAAGAAGGGGTCAGCTACATCTGCATCTATGTAATACTTGCAACAATAAAGATTAAAAAAAAGAATAGTATTAAAGCAACAAAATTACATTTCTTAGATTTTCATTATCTGTGTGACAATGACCAAAATTTAGTTAAGTTACTTAATTCCTAAGACTTATTTTCATAAAAGAATCATATACCAAAAAGAGATGACCACATCAACTGGACACTGATTCTATTTTTTTGATAAATCTAGAAAAACATACCTGTATAATAAAAGGCTAATATACAAATTGCCCCCTCTACTGGGAGTTCGACCAGGGTGCTGGGCTGGTCAACCGCCCATGGCCCCTCCCCCCAGCTGGCTCCGCCCCCGCCCCCAATTGCCCCCTGCCCCAATTGGGGTCAGGTCCAGCCTGCCAACCACTCATGACCCCTCCTCGCCATCCCCACGGCTGGACCCCACCTGTGCACAAATTTGTGCACCGGGCCTCTAGTTCATACTAGGATTACAGTTAATAATAGGCCAACTCCATCTCCTACCTGAAGAGTTCCTCCTCCCGGACTCTTGGCCCTGCGGGCGCCCACAGCAGCACTGACTCCATGGCTCTGGAATGGCACCAACTGCAAAGAGGAAACAGGGGCAGGGACAGAGAAATGCTTCAAAACCAGCTAAAAATGGAGATAGGCAACATATGCACAATACATTGTAGTTTACAAAATGTACTCAGCAACAGCTCAGCTAAGCAACCAATGTGCTGGGTGCTGGGCATACTAGGATCAAAAGTATCTAGAATATTAAAACAAGACCAATAAGAAAGCAAGCCACGTACAATCAGCATCTGCCATTAAAACGGGAAGCACAAACAGTTTGTGGAGCTGAATGACAGCCCAGCTACTGTACCTCTGAAGCACCCCGCTCCTGCTCCCCAGGGCTCCCAGCCACTGACTGCATTAATTCAGGCCTGTTCAAGCAGGTCAGGAAATTTGGACAACTCAGTGTGTGGGACACTCCTTCAGTCGGGCTAATCTCTCTGAGCCCTCACTGTAGCCAGGACTCCTCCTTCCTTCCTTTCCCTCACAGGGTCCACCTGCACGGCAGTGGTAGGGGGCTCCCTGTGAACTCCTGCCTCCCCACCTTTATCCAGCACAGTGTTCCCCACTCTCTCTTGCACATCTCTGCACCTACCTTCTTTGCATGTACTTCTCAGGACCCAAACCAATAAAAAGGAGAGCTGGGGAAGACTTCGGGGGATTTAAGTAGGCAAGAAACATAGGTCCACAAAAAGGAAGAGGCACCGACAACGGGGTTAGGCAGGCAGGCAGAGGAAGAGCCTTGTCCTTGAATGCAGGGGTAAGTTTTGGAACCTGTCTCTTATGAGCTGCTGAGGGATGAAGCAGAGCCAAGATTTTGTTTGAAAAAAATTTCAGCTAAAAACAGCTTCAACACCATTGTAATAGGTGAGGTGGTGACACCCTTTTTTGTGGGTTTCTTTTTTAAACATTATCACTGTGGTTTTGAAATCAGGGCTTCTGGGCACTGTCCTTGCTCTGCCTCCTCCCAACTTTCAGGGAATCCTCTGAATCCTACTCCGGCAGTCTTGGCTGAGGGTGGAGGCCCCTCTGTTTAGAAATGTGTGTGCATGTGTGTGTGAGCATAAAAAAGTTTTGGGTTTTTGTTGCAATTTTGAGATCTGCCACCACTGGGCGCTCTCTGTATTACCTTTTCTTCCCCACCATACGATGCTAGTTTACACAAATCCTGCAATCCCAGTTGCTCTGGTTTCTCTTACATAGATTCTGAAGTTGAAGCATTTTCTTTGTCTTACTTTCACTAAACAAGTGCTTAAGGTTTATGTTTGGTTGGGTTTTGTTGTTGCTGTTGGGTTTCTGCTCTGTTTTAACTGCTCCTCTGCAGTACGTGGTTCCCAGGAGATGGCAGACTGTAACGAGGCTACCGACACATCGCTCCCTGGACACAGGCAGTGCTGTTATGTACACAACTGTCTTCTAATCCTCAGAAATCTGAGTAAGTAGGGTAGGTGTGTTACGTATTTTAACCTACGTTTTCTGACTTTGTGTTTAGAGCCCAAACCCAAACGAGATACTTTTTATCCAGAAGATCCATTTGTATTATTCTATTTCCAATGGACACCCTAACAGATTTACCCAGAGGTTCTCAAGAGGGACTAGGGGCAGGGTGTACCCAGGGGGTGGGATATGGTCTCAGCCAGCTGAGACTCTCTGCCACTGTAAGCCAATGGTTCCAAAGAGAGTGCCAGGTCAGATCTGGCAGTAAGAAATGTTGAGGACAACTCTTCAAACTCATACCCAAAGGGGAAGGTGAATAAGGCCTGGAAGACCCCGTGGAGAGTCTCCGTCCGACTGTCTGTGCTGCATCTGCGGGCGCTGGGGAGCCGGCTCCCACTCGGAGGAAGCCCATAGGACTGGTGTTGGACCTTCGCACCACTGCAGACCTGGGAAGAAAAAGAAAATGACTCCCTCTGACAGGTTCTAGGACTATTTTTGTCTTTTTTTCCTAAAACTTCCTAGAAATATACCATGGAGATTAAAAAAAAAAAATGTAACACAGTCACATGGCACAAGTATAAAATGCATAAAATCATATAGTGAAGACTCCCTCTCAACCTAGTACCCTTTCCCCTAATTCCCAGCACTTCCTCCACCTGATGCACAAGGCTACCCATTTTTAGCCTCTGAAATCCTTCCAAAGCTCCCAATTCACTGCAGGCACACCGGCACTGCACACACTGCCAAGCCCTGGGACACCTACATACTTTTCAATAAATACTATAAATGTATTTTCTTCTATGATTTTAATATTTTCTTCTCTCTAGCTTACTTTATTATAAGAATACAACATATAATATAGTATATAATATACACAATATGTTAATCAACTATTTTGTTAGCCAACATATATTAACCGACTATTTATATGGTAAGGCTTCTGGTCAACAGTAGGCTATTAGTAGTTAAGTTTTGGGGGAGACGAATTTTCAATCGCACAGGGCATTGGGGCCCTAACTTCTGTGTTATTCAAAGGCCCACTGTATAATCATGCTTTCATCTTTAGAAAAGATAGTTATATATACCAACCATTTTCTCTCTCATTTTTTAAATGAACTATTAGCCAACAGTTCTTTTCTTTAATGCTCAAACTGGTGTCTAATGGGTTTTAAAAATGTTTTTATTGATTTTAGAGTAAGAGGAAGGGAGAGGCAGAGATAGAAACACTGATGTATGGAGAAACATCAACATCAATCGATCACCTCCTGCATGCATGCCTCCTGCTGGGGACTGAGCCACAACGTGGGCTTGTGCCCCAACCAAACCAAACCAAACCAAACCAAACCAAACCAGTGACCCCCTGGTTCATGGGTTGATGCTCAACCACTGAGTAGCTCGACTATACCAACCATTTTCAAATTTGAGGGTGTTACTACCCATTGTACTCTTAAAATTACTGATGATCCTAGATCCCATACAAGCTGATACTTACTGTATTAGAAGTTAAACAGAAATTTTTAGATTTACCAATTCATTAAAAATAAACTTAGCATAGGTAACATAATTATGAAAAATATTTTCCAAAACAAGTTTGCTAGAAGTGTGATATTATTTTACATTTTTGCAAATCTCTAATATCTGATTGAATATATGACAGATGGATTCTCAGAACTATTTCTACCTTCAATTTGTATAACACTGGGTATAGTATATGAAGGAAACCCAGACTTACACAGATATGTAACTGGAAAAGGGAGGAATATTTTGGTAGCCTTTTCAAATACTTCTCTTTGATGCTAAACAAAAACTCAGCAAGTCACCATTTCTGAAAGATTGGTCACAGCATGGAATTATAAACCATGTCAGTGAGATTATGTATTCTGTTACATTTGATCACTTGGGAAATATTGGTTGAGCCCAACTGGTGTTTCTCAGTAATCGAACATCGACATTTGAACCAAAAGGTCATGGTTCAATTCCCAGTTAGGGTACTCATCTGGGTTTTGGGCGCATTCCCCACAAGAATCGTGCAGGAGGCAGCCAATCAATGATTCTCTCTCATCATTGATGTTTCTCTCTCTTATCCCCCTCCCTTCCTCTCTGAAATCAATAAAAATATATTTTAAAAAAGAAAATATTGGTTGACTGAGTTATGCAGATATTCCAAATGTTGACACATTATATAATATCAGAGTCACATTCACATCAAAAGACCACTATTAATCTTAGAAATGATTGTCAATGTGTAACAGGAGCTGTCAAGATCATAACAATGAATATAAGTTGTCCAAAATTCTAATTTTTGTTCAGGAACTCAAATTTTAATGTCATTTGTTTTCTATAAAATTACAGAGTTAGTTCATTTTTTACAAAATGGCTGCCAAACATCCATAATCATAGTTTTGTTCTTTAAAAATGATGTGCATGGAAAAGTGGCTAGTTCAGCTTGCAACTGAAACAATCATACAAGTACTTTTCCTTAAGACAACTATTTCAATGTGCCGCAAAAGTACTTTATGCCCACATTCCACTCAAAGCTAAGATTTTCAAAGGAAAATAATAATTTGTACTGCTTCATTGAAGACATTCTTTGGTACTGCAAGAGGTGACAGTAAAGAACACAAAGACTAAGAGTATAGACGGGGCCACTAGTGTGAACTGTTTTAAGGCACCGGCAATTTTCCATCCCTGGTTTTGCACTATCAGTATATGCAGTGAAAAAGCAAACAATATTCTAGTATTATTATGAAAATAGTTTTTCCTCATGGACCCTATAAAAAGGAAGCCACATACCACACCTGGGAATCACTGCTAATAACATTCTTCATCACTTTTTTCACTTTATAATAATCATCTACTTCAGGACATAGAGAGCTGCTTTACTCTTTTTTTGGAAAAGGCTCCATTGTCAGAGATAATCTATAATAAATCAGTCCCTTACTGGTGAGCATATGACCTATTTCTCATCCTCTGCTATTATAACAATAACTTTGTATTCAATTTCATACAAAGGCAAGGTCTGATTATCTATACAATAAATTACCAGAAGATGAAGGGCTCCTTAAAAGATATCCTAATATATAAAAACTCAGGGTCCATAACAACCACAACAACCAGAGGCTCACCAACCAGAAGTCAGTGCTGGATGGCCAAAGTTAGTGCTGCCTCAGCTGTGGGAGCCCGGACCCGGCACTGACTGCGGAAAGAGGCTGCGGATCAGGCCTGGAGACAGAGAAGCAGGGTCTGCTCCTTAGCCTCCATGGCAGCTGATCAGCACTTGCCTGTTTCTTTTGCTCCAGGTCTGGCCAGCAGCCATGCCTCTTTCTCTCTGGCCTCAGCTGGGGCTGCTGATCAGCCCCGCCTCTCTGATCAGGCCCATTGATAGGTCCAGAGATGCTGACTGGCAAAGAAACCAACCAATCAGAACCAAATCTGGGTGAACTGCAAAGGCAGAACCTAAGGTGAGGGCTGAGGAGGGGTTTTAAGGGCGACAGCTGTTTGGTGTAAGGCACATGTGTCAAACACAAGGCCCGCGGGCCAAATCCGTCCTGCCAGGCCTTGCAATGTGGCCCGCACCATACTGTCATCACTGCACTCCGCTGCGTTTCCATCACAGTGACAGTTTATGACTGTTCAGTAAACTATTCGGCCCGCGATTTAGGCTGGATTTTAGATTTTGGCCCCTTCTCTGATTGAGTTCGACACCCCTAGTGTAAGGTATAAGAAAGTGGTTCAATTTTTTTAATGACTGGTTTGGCAGTACAGTGTAAATGGCTATCAGTCCAGATATAGGAATTATGTATTTTTGTCTGCCAAGAATATCTCCTCCTGATGAAAAAGGCTTCCCCTCACCCACATTTAAGCAATCCTATCCTATATAATCTATCTATACTACTAAAAGGGTAATATGCTAATTAGACCAGGTCGACCGGCCATCTTCCAAACATCCGACTTCCTTCTGGACAAAGCCATGGTGGTGAGGGCCAAGGTAGAGGCCGTTAAAGGTGATCAGGCTGGCAGGGGAGGACATTTGGGGGCGAGATCAGGTCAGCAGGGGAGGGCAGTTGGGGCAAGATCAGGCTGGCAAGGGAGGGCAGTTAGGGGCAATGGCAGGGAAAGGCAATTAGTGGTGATCAGGCAGGCAGGTGAACCGTTAGAAGCCAGCAGACCCAGATTGCGAGAGGAACGTCCAATTGGAGGGTGCAGGCTAGGGGAAACACTCCCTGTCCCATGCACAAATTTCATGCACCAGGCCACTAGTATACATTAATAATTTTCATACATATTGCAAAACGCCCTTTGTAAAAGTTTTCTCAATTGTGAGGATCACTTTCCATTCACTGAACTATTTATTTGGTGAGCCCTTTTAACCTAAAATCTTGTATCTACCAATGATGAAAAAATTTTTTTTGATTTTCTAGAAATTTTCTTCCTCATTATTTTCTTTTTCTTTCTGGAATACCTATAATTAACTCTTGAAGAATATTTTTCATTTATATTTACCAACTTTATTTGGTTCACCTATTTCAGATACTTCAACTTTGCCTCCCAGCATTTATTTATTTATTTATTTATTTTTTTTAAACCATGTTTGTGTTTTTTTAAAATATACTTTATTGATTTTTTACAGAGAGGAAGAGAGAGGGATAGAGAGTTAGAAACATCGATGAGAGAGAATCATCGATCAGCTGCCTCTTGCACACCGACTACTGGGAATGTGCCCGCAACCAAGGTACATGCCTTGACTCGAATCAAACCCAGGACCTTTCAGTCCGCAGGCCGACGCTCTATCCACTGAGCCAAACCGGTTTCGGCCCAGCATTTATTTTAATTATTATAATTTGTAATGTCCAAGAAGAGAGCTTTTTAATATTTATTTTTTCAATAGTATTTCTTTCTATTTATGGATACGGTTTTTAACCTTTCTCTAAAGGTACTACTTTTAAAAATAAGTTTATTTCCTTTGCATTCTTGCTATTTCCTTCAGATTCAGTTTTCCTACTTTTAGCCATATGCCTCACTTTCACCTCTCCACTGAGTTCCCCAAGATTTCTGTTTCTGAGGGTACTATGTGGCACAGCTGCTCTCACTGTCAGCAGGCACTCATCTTCCATTATCTTTGCTTTCCAGAAATTTATTGACATCTCCCACCCACTGAATACTTATTCTTATTTTACTTTTCTTTGTGGACTTATCCCATTGTCATTCCTTTGCTACCTCAGTGAAGTTTCAGAATGTAGAAAAAATAATATGTCAATAATCTGCTACAATTGGTGGGATTCCATTTTTTAACACACTTTTCCTCAATTCTTAAAAATAATTATATTTGTGGACAAAATATATACATACCATATCACCTTGAAAAGCTTACATATTATCTAAATAGAACCATTACAAAAAAATTTTTATTCAATTTTTTGTATCATTTTGTACACCTCCACTGTACAGAGTGGGGAAAAAGTAAGTTTATAGTTGTGAGTACATAAAACATAGAGCTTATTCTTGTATTATTTTTATTAATCATTGTCCATATGAACAGCTTTTGACCCACCCTATACACATACATAAGGGACAAAGTTGGCTATGGAAAGTAACAGATCTTTCAACCACAAAAAAAGAACTATTTTTTTTAATTAAAAAAAATTTTTGCAATTACAGTTTACATTCAATATTATTTTGTATTAGTATCAGGGGTATAACATAATATCAATAGTTGGATAATCATCTACTTTACAGTGTTCCTCCTGACATTTGCAGTACTTAAGTGACACCATACATACTAATTGAACTACCAGAGGCCCGGTGCACGAATTTGTGCATAGGTCAATGCCAATCTGGTTAGACCAGCGAGGGGAGGGAACACGAGTTTGGCTGGCTGGCCTTCCTCTCTGGTTGAACTCCCAGTAGATGGGACAATTTTCATGTTAGTCTTTTATTATATAGGATTATTGGCTATATTTCCTATGTTGTTGTACTTTACACCCAGATGACTATATTGTAATTACCAATGTGTACTTCTCAATCCCTTTACCATTTTCACTCATACCTCCAACTCCTTTCAGCCAACCAATAGTCTGTTCTCTATATCTATGAGTCTGTTTCTGTTGTTTGTTTATATTGTTCCTTTAGATTTCACATATGAATGAGTTCATATGGTATTTGTTTTTCTCTGACTGACTTATTTCACTTAGCATAATATCCTCTGGGTCCATCCACACTATCACAAATGGTAAGATTTCATAATTTTTAAAGGCTGTTTATTATTTGTATTTTTTATCCTTTTTAAATTGATTTCAAAGAGGAAGGGAAAGGGAGAAGGAGATAGAAACATCAATGATGAGAAAGAATCACTGATCAGCTGCCTCCTGCATGCCCCTTACTGGGGATCAAGCTTGCAACCCAGGTATGTGCCCTGAGAGGCCCTTTAACATTTCTTATAATCCTGGTTTGATGGTGAGAAACCTTAGCTTCTTCTTGTCTGGAATGCTCTTTCTCTGTCCTTCGATTCTAAATGATAACTTTGCTAGCTAGAGTAATCTTGGTTGTAGGTCCTTGTTTTCATCACTGTGAGTATTTCTTGCCAATCCTTTCTGGCCTGCGAATTTTCTGCTGAGAAATCAGCTGAGAGTCTTATGAGAGCTCCCAACTGCTTTTATTTTGCTGCTTTTAAGTTTCTGTCTTTAACCTCTGCCATTTTAATTATGTGTCTTAGTGTGGGCCTCCTTAAGTTCACCTTGTTTGGGACTCTGCACTTCCAGGATTTGTATGTTTATTTCCTTCATGAGAAATGGGTTAGGGAAGTTTTCTGTCATTTTTTCAAACAGGTTTTCAATTTCTTGTTCTTACTCTTCTTCTGGCACCCAATGATGTGAAAGTTGCCCCAGAGGCTCCTTACACTATCCTTTTAAAAATTATTTTTGCTGTTTTAATTGTGTATCCCCCCCCCCCCCCCCCCCGCCCCATATTCTAAATTGCTGATTTGAATCTACTCTACTGCTGATGCCTGTAATTTACTCTTCATTTCAGTTAGGGTATCTGTCATTTCTGACTTGTCCTTTTTTATGCTGTGAAGTTCTCACTAAGTTCCTTGAGCATTCTTAAAACCATTGCTTTGAACATTGTATCTGGTAGTCTGCTTGCCTTCATTTCATTTAGTTTTTTTTCTGGAGATTCCTCCTGTTCTTTCATTTGGTACTTGTTTCTTTGTCTCTGCATTTTGGCAGCTTCCCTAGGTTTTTTCCACATATTAGGTAGATTTGCTATATCTCCTGGACTTGGTAAGTGTCCTGCAGGGCCCCATGTACAGCTTCCCCAGTCACCCAAGCTGGGCACTGCAAATATACTTCTGTGTAGGCTGTGTGCCCTGTCCTGTTGTTGTTGAGCCTTGAGTGCTATTGGTGTCACTGGGAGAAATTGACCTCAGGCTGATCAGCTGCAAGGACTGGCTGTGACTACAGTGAAGGAGATGCTGTACAAGGACCAACCCTACAGAGCAGGACTTGCTTCAGTGTGTCTTGGGTGCTTGCCAAGTCTGCCTCTTGGGTGTGTTGCTTGTGGAGGTGGTAGGGTTATAATTTGGCATGGTCTGAAGCTGTCCATTGAGTACACTGGCTCTGGGGCCTCCTGGGAGGTATAAGGTTAGCCACTACCTATTCCCTGCCTGGGGCAGCATGCTGGGCTTGGAGGTGCCCAGAAGAGACCAACCTGCACACCAAGGCCACTAGTGCCAGGCCTGTGAAAGATATGGGGTACACAGAGGCCAGAGAGATTTTAGGAAAGTTCAAAGCATGGGTATGAGATGCCATTTGTATAGAGAAGCTACTGGAAAAGCCTTGGGTGTGCCCACTAGTTAGGTAAGGCAAGGTCTTGGGGAATCACCAGGGTGGGGCAGACAATATGAGCCAGGCTGATGGAGACTTGGCTATGTACCCACTTACCAGCTCTGTGCAGGAAGAGCTCAGAAAAGGAACAATGGCCTTTGCCATCCCTTTTGTCTGGGAGCTGCCCCTCCGGCTCTCATCCTGATGCCTATCAACTCAATTCCTCCCCATATGTCCCTGCTGCTGCCTTCAAGCTTCTTCCCCAGCGCTGGAGCTTAGATCAAGTGTGTCTGAGTAAGTCTATGCACAGGCTCCTTAAGATGAACTGCTTAGAATTCCAGCTGCCCTTTGTCTCATTCAGCCACAGTCCCCTTAGTTTTTAAAGCCAGAAGTTATGTGCACTTTTCTTCCTGGCATTGGAACGAACCCCTGGCTATGAGGTCTGGTGCAGGGGCTGGGACCCCTCGCTCTTCAAGGGGACCTCCACAGCCAAGATATCCCTTCTGATTTTTACCTGCCACACATGTTGTGGGACCAGGCATTCCATGTTTCTGCCCCTCCTACCAGTCTCGACGTGGTTTCTTTTTTATATCCTTAGTTACAGGACTTCTGTACAACTTGATTTCAGGTGGTTCTAAAGTACGGTTATTTGAAGTGGAAATTTTGATGAGGTTATGAGTATCACGTTTACCTATGCTGCTATCTTGACTGGAACCCCTAACATGTTTATAAGAAAAGCTTGTAGACAAAAGGGTCCCAGGTTCAACTCCAGTCAAGGTCATGAACCTTGGTTGGCAGTCTCCTTCCCAGACCAGATGCTTGCAAAAGGCAACCAATCGATGTGTTTCTCTTACATTGAAATTTCTCTGCCTTTCCTTCTCTCTTCCACTCTCTCTAAAAGATCAATGGAAAAATACCCTTGGGTGAAGATTAACAAAAACAAGAGAAAAAAATACTAGCTTACCGTGGAGAACCATGTAGATTTGTGCCAGAGCTGGCAGTAGATGTAAGATTCTGCTCCATGCGCTGATAATTCCTTATCTGAGTAGGAACTGGAATTGGTGCTGTTTCACTGGGAGGTGACACAGTAGGCACACACTGTCTGCAACCATAAATTATTGAAAAAGAAAGAAATCCAAGTAAGACCCATTGGTGATATTTAAGAGAAAAATTCTAGAAGAAGCAAAATGATCAGTTCAGCATATAAATAAGAAATGATAATCTTATAAAAATATATCAAGCAAAAAATTTTCATTTGTCATAAAAAGAACTCTCCTGGCATTAATATGCATATTTAAGACTAAGATTTATAACAAGAACTGAAAAAACATTCCTCGACAATAAGAAAATTAGGTTGGCAAAACTTAGGTTTCATCTGTTCACATTCTGCTATTCATTACTATATGAGAGAAAAATACATTTCTAGGAAAATATGTTGGGAAATGAACAGGAAGTTCAAAATCAAAGATGACTGGAATGTCTACAAAAATTATGAATGCAGTAAGGACTCCCAAGGAATTCTGACTTTTATGAAGACTGAAAATACACTGTGAAATTCTCAAAGCATAGAATTGATCGGAAGTTCACATTTTTAAATGTTAGAATTTCTTAATAGCCTCTTTTATTGATTTTCATAAATTAAGAAACAGTATGTCCTTAGATGACTTTCAATTCAATTTACAACATAATACTGTGTAGGACCTTAAGATAGATGATTTACTTCATTCTTTGCCCTTCTATAAAAAACACACAAAAATCTCCCACTTTTCTCCAATTATATTACAGATGTAAGAGTTTGTATAGATAAGCAAAACAAAGACTATCTTCTAGCTTCATGTTAGAAAATTAAACCATTAGAGTATTTTTCAAGCCTAATCATTGTATCAGGCAATGATTCTTGGATATAGTTACCAAAAGTAAACAAATGGGACTACATCAAATTTTAAAACTTCTGTGCTCAAAGGATACATCAATAGAGTGAAAAGTCAACCTATGGAATGGGATAAAATATTTGTACATTGCATATCTGATAAAGGGTTAATATCTAAATTATATACAGAATTCCCACAACTTGACAACAACAAAAAAACCTGATTAAAAAATGGGCAAAGCAAAATCCTCAACAAGATTCTAGCAAATCGGCTCCAGCAGTACATCAGAAAGATCGTACACAATGACCAAGTAGGATTTACCCCAAGAATGCAAGGATGGTACAATATCCGCAAATCAATAAATGTGATGCATCACATAAACAAAATGAGAGATAAAAATCACATAGTCAATTGGGTGGGGGGGACAATGCTAAGATATGTACACATATAATACCTTACTAAAAAAATGGGGGGGGAAATGGGCAAAGAACGTGAATAGACAATTTCACCACGATGATTTACACATGGCAAACAATTATATGAAAAGAATTTCAAAACCACTGATCATCAAAGAAATGCAAATCACAACCACAGTGAGGTATCAGTGCACATCCATTAGGGAAATGACTATTAAGAAGGAAAAAAAAGATGGCTGTTATCAAGGGAAAAAAATAAATGTTTGCAAGGATATGAAGAAATCAGAACCTTATATAGTGTTGTATTATAGGAATGTAAAATGGTGCATCCATTGTAGGTAACTGTATGGTGTATCCTAAAAAATTAAAAATAGAATTATCATATGATCCAACAACCCCACTTTTCAGTAAATATCCAAAAGAATTAAAGCAGGGTCTTTTGCCTGGCAGGCATAGCTCAGTGGTTGAATGCTAACATATGTACCAGGAGATGATGGTTTGATTCCCTGTCAGGGCACATGTCTGGGTTGTGGGCTTGATCCCTAGTGGGGGCATGAAGGCAAATGATCAGTGATTCTCTCTCATCACTGAGGTCTCTCTCTCTCTCTCCCCCCAGCCCCTTCATCTCTGAAATCAATAAAAATATGTTTTTTTTTTAAAAAGAAGGGTCTTTTAATTAACAGTTATTTGCATATTCACAAATTCCTAACAGCATTATTCACAAGAGCCAAGAGGCAGAAGCACTCCAAGTGTCCACTGACAGATGAATGGATAAGCAAATGTGCTACAGACACACAATGGAATATTATTCAGCATTAAAAAGGAAATTCTGAGACACGCTACAACATGGATGACCTTAAAGACATTGTGCTGACTGAACTAAACCAGTCATATGAAGACATATATTGTAGGATTCTACTTACATGAGGTTATAAAAGGTAGTCAGATTAATAGAAACAGACATCAAATGGTTGTTACCAGTGTAGGATAGGGGGAATGGGGAGTGTTGATACTGAGTTCTGTGTTTCAGTTATGCAAGATGAAAAAGTTCTGCACAACACTAACTATTCTTTATTGAACTGTAAACTTTAAAATGGTTAAGATGGCAGATTTTATGTGTTTTATTCCACAACTAGAGGCCCAGTGCATAAAAATTCATGCACTGGAGGGGAGTTCCTTCAGACAGACCTGCCCCCCTTCTCACAGTCCAGGAGCTCTCAGGGACAGGAGGTGATCTGGCAAGCAGGGGTAGGCAATGCCCCCCTCACACCTCTGCTGCTGCTGCTGCCATTGCCGGCAGCGCAAGCCTTGGCCGGCCCTGGTTACCTGAGCCTCAGGCAGCCCTGAGTGGCGGCTGGGCAGCCGCTATCTGAGGCCTGCCTGCGCCTCAAGCTGGCCCTGGATGGCTGAAAGTCTGAAGGGACTAGGGGACTCTGGAGGCAGGCACATGGAGTGTCCGGACCCACCTGGGGACAGGCCTGACTGTGCTGCACGCCTGCTGCCCCAGCGGGGCTGAGGGAACTGGGCACCACCATCTTGTGGCTGAGGGCATCATCATCTTTGAGGGTGTGTCAGTCAATTAGCATATTCCCTCTTTACTAGATAGGTTTATATCTATATATTTAAAATGATAAATTGAAAAACAAAATAAATGTTATACTCAAGAACACACAAAGTTCTATAACTGTACTTATAAAATATATATATATATATATATATGTATAAAAAATCTTTAATTACTTATGTGTAAGCATACCCTCCAAACACCAAGGACTCATTTGAAGCTCGTCTGCTGGCAGTTCCCACTGGCATATCATCTAAAGGAGAAAGAAAAATGGAGTCAGTTCTGCTGTCCCATCTACTTAAAACATAAATGTTTCTACATCATCATTAGTATGGACGCAAAGGGCCACATACCAAACCTGACAAGCTCAGGGGAGGCCTGCATGGTGGGACGGGCAAACTCAGAGACCTGAAGGAGCCACAAAGGACGATCAGAAATGAAAACTTCTAACTAAAAGCGAGTCATGGCCGGCAGCCCTGGAGCAGGCCGGCATCTTCCCTGACAAAGGCCAGTCTCTACCTCACTGAGCCTGTGCACTGTCTCTGTGCACCTATAAAAGGACAGCATGCCTTTGGAATGTCGGGGTGACCCCTTTTCCCAGACCCTTCAGGGCAAAGCCTCCCCCCCAGAGCAGGAGCCCACAGAGCCCTCATTGCTCTCCTGCTCCTCACATACCACATGAGGTAGCCACACACCTCCCATACCAGGTGCTGTAAATGTTACTTTCCTATGCCCGGCAATTTAAAAGAAACACGTGTCTCTGTGGCTTACTTTTTATCCAGTCCCAGAGATTTCCTCTTTTTGCTTTCTCCCACCTCCCTAACCCATATAATTATTCCCTTACACCTACTTTGGTTCTGATGTGTACAATAAGGAGCACAGCTGCTGTTCTCTGGAGCATTTTATCAATCCACTGAGGTTTTGCTTCCTCAGTGAGTCAAACTGTTGTCAGTTTGGCTCACATAAACTCATAAAAATTCTCTACAGGTTTGAATGTTTCTCATGTTGACATTTGGAACACAACCATTTGCCTCCATGCAATTTCATCCATGAATAACACAGGTAAACACAGAACACTGTCCGGAGCTGAATTCACAGATTGCAAGCCTTTCAATGCCTACTTCTATAAGCAATTACCAAGTCTTATCAAGGTAAAGTGTCACACTTCTTGCAGTATTTATATGTTTCTTCACCATTTAACATGTGCAAAAACTGTGCTGTTTTATTATGCTCTTTATGTCACTGACAAAAGTTTTGAGTACTGTAGCCCCTAATCTCAATTTGCCCATAAACTCTGCTGTTTTTACTGAACTCTGCAAGTTATGGTGATTTTTAGTCATAAGTCACATTCTAGCACAACTGAAGGTAAACAAAGCCTAGTTCACTCCATCCTGTGTAATAAACACTCTCTTGGGTCTTGCATGGGTTGTTGAATAAGCTGTCATGGAAACTGGGGCCTCTCGAGTCAGCAGCAAACACCACAGGCCATGTTCATTACTCCTCAGTCATCAGTAAGGGAATGGAGCACAGCTGGGAAGGCCTCCATTCCTTGTCACTGCTATGTCACATTGCCCTGTGTGATTTAAATGGCTGTAAAGGTATAACTAATATGTACTGATGTGAAATCAGTGTTGACCAAATTATATGTATTTTTAAAAAGTAAACTTTCCTGCTAACTTGTGCTCAACAAGGGGGAGGGGGTCACAAAAACCCCTTTGAATGGTCCTAAGGGGGAACTGAGAAATGCATTGATTTTGGCACACCTCAAATCCCTGCTCTAAGGAAGATTTTATTTTTTGTCGTGAAAGAGGGTAATCATATCACGAAGTGGTAAGAGGTATATAAGGAATATAAATTAGAATAAGGGTATAAAGACCAGTGGGCAAGGAAGCAGTTCTAGTTTAAAGACTACAACTGCCTAAAGGGTAAGAGAGAAAAAGAGTAGATGGGGCAGGGATAGAAGCTAGATTTCACTAAGTGTCCTTCATTTTGTAGCTTTGAGTTTGAAACCATACATAATTACAAAAGAAAATTAAAAAAAAAAAATTTTTTTTAAAGAACAATCCCTAGAAATCAAAAGTAGAATGTAGCAAAGAAACCTAACCATATATTAATTTGATTGCATAATCATCAAAATTGAGACAGGCTAATAAGCCAGGACAAGCAGAATAGGGAAACTGAGACAAAAAATTAAACAGCAGTTTTCAGTCACCTAGAAAATCGAAATGCCAAGCCCGTGGCTGCCATTTAATCCTACCTTCACTAAACCAGGGACACTCACTTCTCCCCAGCCAGAGGGAGACAGCAGAAATCCAGGGAGTGCCATTTGCCAGCCACACCCAAGGACAAATAAAGAGACTAAATCTCATCTTGGTACATCAGCATAAAGCTGACGAGTATTCTATCGATCCTCCCCTAAAACCTCCCAGCTTTAAAACCCCTCAAAACACAGGTCCTAGCATGCAATCTCCTTCCCAGGAGCTCTCCCGCTCCCCTTTCTCCCTACCCCTTCCCCCAACAAGCATGCACTTTCTAAACTCAGGGCAGCAATGGCAGTGGCAGTTGGTCTCAGACTGCCCCCTGAACCCTGCCCCAAAGCCCCTTTTCTCTGACTTAGTGAGCCCAAGCAGCCCCGCCAGGCTCATTCCCTGCCCTTCCTTGTTGGAGGTCCCAGCTCTGATACACGTCCTCTAACATTCCCTGGACTCATGATGGGAAATCTCTCCTGCGTGAAGTCCAGAACCCACACTCTCAGGCCGGCTCTAGGCAGATCCCTCAGGGCCAGGTCCCCTTACCAGTAACAAAATGAATTTTTCAAGAGACTTTAAACTCGGTGATTTAATTAGACATTCCTAACGGTATTATTCTAAGGACAAAAATACTCACAAGAAGTTATTATTGTGATACCTTGTTGTTAATTTGAAACTATAGGAGAAAAGGGTAGGAGAGATTAGAGCCTAAACTTACAAGGGTAAAGAACAGAAAAGTCAACAACCACAACAATGTGAAAGCTAAAAAGTTGATATAAATAGTATCTGACCTAGTAGGCCGGAAGAGCCGACAAGTGCAGTCTTACCAGAACCCGAAGAGGCTGGTGATTAGCAGTGTCGGATCCCCCATACAGGAAAGGCTGGGCCAGAGGGAAGGTAGAGGTGAAGGCAGCACGATCCAGGGACAGGGGTTAGTGAGTGAAATCTCACACACTGACTTCTGAGCCCTCCAGCCTCTCCCCCCATGGACCCCATGTGGCACCGGGTACACGCTCTTCAGGCAGAAGACCGCTGAGTCTTCTCCGGGATCCGAGAAGCCTCAGAAAGGAAGCACTCCAAGGCAGGGACTCAGCCTATTACCAGAGCAGAGGCTCACTATTCAAAAGACCCACTTCCTACAGAGCTCTCAGCTGTTTTAATTTCCCATTCTTAATTATGAGCATACATCACCACACATCCAAGGGAAGAATCTAATAGGAAGCCCAGACTCCAAAACAAACTAGGTAGAAAAAAAAAACAAAAAAAACAAAAACAAACTAAAATATTTTTCAAGGAAACAAACTAAAATATTTTAAAATGTGTGTGTGTGTGTCATATATATAAAATGACTTCTGAGATAAAATAAAATATTTCACCGTGAGGTAAGAACAATACTACTCAAAGGGGAGGGAAAGAACTTCAGAATATTCAAAATATGAGACATAAATGAAAAATGCAATAGGAGTTTTAGAAAAAAACATTAAGGAAATTCCCCTAAAAATGTAAGACCAAAAGATGGAAAATCAGACCCCCCAAAAAAGGAAAGAAAATCAGAGATGGGTATTCAGGTATCTGTTATCACTTTTAAATTGTATAGATGTTTTAAATATCTTATATGAGTTCTTCCCATATCTGTTTTCCCACGTCAGGGACTTAAAAGTCATCATTCCAACCTATCAAGTAAAAAGCTGAACAGACTGAACAGTTAATTCTTGGATCCAAAGAGGGGAGGACACAGGGCAAACCGATGCCCCCAGATGAGAGATAGACAGACAAGCCTAAAGCTCGGGCTTACCTGAGGGGGACTCGCCAGCAGAAAGCTCCCTGGAGTCAGAGCCAGAAGAGAAGCTTGAACCGAAATTGCTAATTTGCTGGAACTCAGTGCAGACAACTCCGAGTTACAAGCCCCAGAGGACTGAGTCAGAGGGGACCAGAGTATTGTCAGATTTACATCTAGGAGCTGAGACTCCCACAGTGAATATGTGAGAAAAACCTCTTCTTACTTCCATCAGGGAGGGGAAAATGAAACATTTTTAAGTCAGAGCATTCTGAGCTTATTAACGAGGCCTGCCCTTGGGGAAAACTATTAATCTGCTCAGGTTAAACTCAGAGCCAACTGCCCTGGGGGGAGGGAAATAATGCCGGCCCCCTGGCCCTCCTGGCCACCCTAAGGCAGGAGAGAGAAACTGAAAGCACCCTGAAGCTCACCAAAACAGCCTAATCCCAGGCCCACCAAGGCCCCCATCCCCCCAAACCTTACCAGCAAGTCACTAAGGCCTCTGTACAGCAGTTCCTGTCACCTATACACCAAGCATAGCTATCAAGAAAAATTACAAGGTATACCAAAAAGCAAAAAGTAGTCTAGAAACAGAAAACGTAAGAACCAGGGATGTTAAAGTTACCAGGCCAGGAATTTGAAACAATTGTAATTAATATGCTAAGATTGTTACCGGGAGTTAAGACTTTGGTTCTAGTCTTCGTGAGGGAAAGATCTCAATCAAGAGACAAAGTGTAGGGAAGCAAGCAAGAATTTATTGGCCGCAGCAAAAGTGACTCTTGGCCAGTGAAAAAGGAAGGGCACAGGAGCAGCAGGAGAGCCAGGCCAGGCTGCTCCGACTCACTGAGAAGCAGAGAAAGGGCCTTGGAGACAAGCTCAGGGGTAAGCCCGGGAGGAGCTGCCATGCCGCTGCCCTTTGCTCCCCAGGGTCCCTTAGCGGTTAGGGACACGTGCCTGTGGGGGAATGAGAATGAACAGAATGGCACAGACATGCCCCGTGTGGGACAGCACCCTGGGAACGAGCTGCAGCTGCCCACGACTCCCTTGTCAGTGTCATGGGGTCCCTGAGATGTTAGGGGATAAGTGAAGGGGGGGGGGGGGAGGGAGATGGCATGGGCGTGCCTCCCAGAGGGAGAGTGAGCTGGGACCTTCATTTTCAGGGGTTTAAGGGCTTGGCATTTAGGGGAGGTTATTGGGGTGGATCAATAGAGTATTATCAGCTTTATG